ACACTAGGTAGGTTTTCACGAAGTAGTGTTAGTAATTCAATAGGCAGTGGTCTACTTTCGAAGGTAGGACTCCTGGGGTTTGAACTTTCTAACTCAGAAGTGGAAGCTCAGGCTGCAGCATCACCAAACGTCAGCCCCAGCTCAGCCTGGCCTCTCCCATGAGTTCCCTTATGATGGAACAGGTAGTGTGGGAGGACCAGTGGGAACCACAAGTGCCTGGCCTTGTCCCAGCAGCAGCACTACTGTAGCTGCTTCAGGCGTTCTTATACAATGCACTTTGAACTGCTCAAACATTGTTCAGCATTAGGACCTTGTTACATTTTATGCTGTGAGCTGCACAAATGTTGATCAATGTTAATGCTAGTTTGAAGCAGTCACACCCTTAGGCTAGAAACCTGCTCTGACTGTCCCACACCTGCACGGTGATTACATGCCACTAGAGGCCTGGTGAGCAGGGGCAGAACTACGAGCTGTAGCTGTGTGAATTGCTACTAGAGAGCTGGTGAGCCAGGACAGGCTTCTCTCCCTGCTCTATGAGCGGGGGTGTGAGAGATCCTGGGATACAGGAGGATTTCAGCTTGGGTGGCACATCTGTGGGGCGTGGCCACACTTTAATGGAACAGGAGCTGGGTAGTACAGATCAGAGATAATCCTTCCCTGGAATGGCATAACTTTAAACCACATAACAAGTGATTAAACAACCTTAAGGTGTTAATGTGCAGACAGTCCAGGGGTTAAGACCCAGGAGCCGCCCAAAATTACCATGTAACAAGACACTTAGTGCCAGCTTGAATTTAGAGCAGTCACACCTCAAGGCTAAAACATTTTCTGACTGTCCCTGACCTGCACAGCTGTGATTTATCATTAGAGGGCTGGCAAGCAGAGGCAGAACTAGGAGCTAGGGCTATGAGTTGCCATTTGAGAGCTGATGATGCAGGACACACTTCTATCTCTGCTCTAGGTGGGGTGTATGCAAGATGGTTGGGGAGCAGGAACATGAAGCTGGGAGGCAGAGAGTTAATGGGATGGGGTGGATAATGAAATGGGAGGAAGAAGGGAAATGGGGATGGGGAAAGGTTGGTGAAATGAAGGAAGTCAGCCACTGAAGGATAAAATAAAAAGAAATTTAAAAAAAGGCGGGGAGGGGAGGGGGAAGGCATTTAAAAAGAAATAAAGAGGAAGTAAATTAAAAAGGTCTCATGTTTTAATACATTGGGATTGGGATTGGGGTGTGGGAAATGCTGGTCCTGCTTCCTGGGGTGGCTGGGAACAGTGAGGAAAGGCACTTTTGGGGGAGCTACTGCCCCTGCCCTGGAAAGGAAGCCCTAGTTCATGGGGAGCCAATTTGGCCCCCTACCTTGTCGTTCCCCGCCCCCCCACCCAACCCCTCTAGACCCCACTCCCAGACTCATCTGTGACTTAAAACCTGGTTATCTGGCATGAGGACTGCAGGCTGTTTGCATGGGTTACACCCCTGGGGGTAGGAAGGTCACACCCCCAGGGCTGGAAAAGGGAATTAGCTTGGTGCCAGAACCTTCCCCCCTGCCCCCACAGGGCAAGAGTGGAAAGTTAATCCACAAAGAACAGAAGGGTGAGGGAGAGGATCCTGCCCTGGAGTGGTGTAACTTTAAGCTACCTAAAGTATGCTTAAAACTAGTTTCAGGTGTTAATGTATGGACAATCCAGGGGTTAAGAGCTCCAGGAGCCACCTAAAATTAATGTGGAACAAGGCCTTCAGACCTTGCCTGTCCTGACTCCAGTTAAATCTGCCTTGGATCTTCTGGCCTAGATTGACTGCTTGCTCTGACCCTGTCTTGACCCTTGGCTTGGACAGATACCTGGCTTTGACCTTGGCTTCCACTCTCCTAAAATCTTGATTTAGCAAGAATCATTAAGACTGACTGCATACATACTGGTCAACACATACAGTACCAAATCAATGACTTGGAACTGCCATCTCATGGATTAACTGTGAAACAGAGGTCCTGACCACTTGTGAACAAAAATCCAGGTAACAAAAAGAAGATGAGAAGTGTTTTTGCTAAAAAGTGAGACCTAATCTATACCTTTTTGTTAGGATGGGGCAGGACCCTTCACACTGCCAGCAAATTACTACAATGGAATAAGGCTCCTGCTACCTCTAGTGCCTTTTGCCAACTGCCATGGTCCTTTTAGCACCTGGTGCCTTCTCAGAGCGCCGTTTGTAGGTGGGTCAAGGGGAAAAGTAGGTTTTGGAGACAGATCTACAGCAAGTCTTGAAATCCTGCATCTAGAGTTCTACTTTAGATACTCTGCATCTCCACAGCAGCAGGGTGGGGAGGCAATAAAGTTAATTTTACCTCCCTGCTGAGCCTCCAGTTTCTCCTAATGGTAGTAGATCAGTGCTAGGGGATATAACTGTACTTTGACCATGTGGATTGAATGATGATGAAGACTTTGTATCCACCAGCACTGGAGTTAATTGTTGTAATTATCCAGCTCTGAACTTTTAGTGAACCTCTGTTAGGTGTGCCACTGTCATTAGATTGCCACTTGGCAACTTTAAAAAGCACCCACCATCTGATGAAATGACAATACACGTGAAAAGCACTTGAACAGAAAATGTGCTCCTCAACTCTTCTCTCTTATTCCCTCTGCTGAATGACTGCAGGAAGGAGTGGGTAGGAGGAGACAGCAGTACAATGAAGCTGTGTCAGCCCTCCTCATCACAAATCGCCAACCCATGTAGCCCGTGAATCTCAACAACCACTCACAGGAAGTTTCAAGTGTTGAGCCCCAGCTCAAGTCTGGGATCGTGCCCGGTATGCAAAAGCCAATAAAGATACCAGGGGTGAAAGTATAAAGATTTATTGCTAGCTATACAAGGTGCAAGCGGAATAATTTCACGTAACAAGCACACAGATTTTTAATTCTAAGCATCTTTTATACAGGAGTATTGGACCTTCATAAGCATTCTTGTTTGCTAATTGGTTGTAAGGGAGTGACGCAAGGAGTTCTTTACTGAGCATGACTCTATACCTGTGTTTTAGCTATGTATCTCATTTCCATACATGTATGTTTCATTAGCATACTTTCTCCCCACCCAGGGGTGTGATTCTCAATATTCAAATCAGCTCTTTGCCCTAGTCCTCTGATTCTGCTTTTGTTTTCAAGCCTCCTTTATCTAAGACTGTCTCCTCCTTATCATTGCAGATGGGCATTAGTTACATAACAGAGACTTTTGCTTGGGCTTTGTATAGTGGTTTCTAGGTCGAACCTGACACAAGGAGCCAATAGTTGCCTTTTAAGTATGCTAGCAACTTCCATATGCAACAGAGGGCAAAACAAAACATGGCAATTTCATTGGCAGTATAGAAAAATGTGGCATAGAGGTGACATGAAAAATGTGCATTATAACAGAATGTGTAAAGAGCCAGGAGATAAAGGGGGCAGTGTTCAAGGTAGTCCAAGGGGTTTAGCTGAACTGGTAACCCTGCCAACTTCACTGCTACCATGCTGAGTTCTTAGGAACCAGAAACTGAAAATGAAACTTGAGGGGAGGGTGAAATCACAGAAACCCAAACCAGTGGTAAAATCCATACAGACCAACACAGCATGGCTAGCTGCCACCCCAAACATATAGGAAGTTCAGATCCACACTTTCCTTTGTGCCCCCAAACTGTCTTTAATATAAATCCAAAGTGAACCATGCCCAGCAGACTAAAGAGAGCCCTCCTGAGAATGCAACTGAGGCACTATAAAAAGTAGGTCTAGAAGGGACCTTGGGAGGTCATCTAGTCTGAGCCCCTGTCCAATGTAGGATCATCCATATCCAAATCATCCTATGCAAGTACTTATGTAACCTATTCCTAAAATCATACAATCAGCCCTGTTAGAAACACTGAAAGCACTCAATCCTGCTACAGGAAAAGAAGGAGGACCAGACCTGTCCTGTCACTGCAAGTATTATTAAAATACTTAAGAGATCCTAGGAAGAGGGCCATGCCCCCTGCTCCAGAGTAACACAAAATGCCCCACAAACCATACCAAACTGACCTTGGGGTAAACCAAACCTTGGGGTAAACCCTATAGGTTTTAATATAGTGACTGTCACTGTGACATCTGATTCTTAGAGGTTCTAATGAACAGAATTGTTCGCTCCCAGGCAGAGACATTGGGATGATGAGTAATATACATACAATATGTCACCTCTCTTATGTTACCTCTCTGCAGTTGTGTGTCTATGGCCAGCTTTCAATTGCCTGAGTTTGGTGGAGATATCATAAAATCTACTATAGTGTGGACTTGTCACATTGAATGCATACATTCAGCACAGTGGTTCAGAACAGAAATTTCCTTGGCAGATCAAAAAATCTCATTCTTACCCTCCCTGGAATGAAATCTGCCTCTCAGATTAATTGGGGTGACTGCAAGCATGCTTCTGCACCCCATGCAGCTTATACAGTGGACTAATCAGAGAAGACTACAAAGGAGACTTCAGATGTTTCCTATGTTTTCAATTAATATTATACTAGAAAGAAGAGAGAAAGATTTTTAACTACCAGGAAGCAACATCCAGAAGGTTATGTATTATCCAGACTTCATCATGAATTTTCTTTGGAAACCAGTCCTAGAAAGAGATGAGTTGGGCTGTTTTTAGGACTCTGGGTTAATGTGTGTGCAGTAGGTTTTCAACTTTGAAGCTAGTGGTTTGCTGACTGGCCTACATAACGAAGCAGAGGCTTGCAGGGATCATGAATGTATTCCACATGCATCTGAGTCCCAGCTGGACTCCTAAGGTGCTAACAGACAAGGAAGTTCAGCAAAGCTGTTTGATTAGTACAATATGCAACTCCCTGCTAGGCCAGCCAGGGAGTTCTTATGTGTAGGTAGCTGAGCCATATGCTGTGTGGGACTGCTGTTTGAATGAGTGTGGCAAGATACTCTCCAAGACAGCTCTGTGTGGGCATGTGATATGTTTTAATACAATAACTTTATTTATGCATATTTATTCATCCTAGATATCAATATGGCTGGGGAACCTAAACCAAACAGACCCAAAGGGCTGAAGAGAGCACCTTCCACCTTGTACAGGTAGGTCTTCAATGCTTCATCTCCCCTGAGGAAAATACCAGGATATTTTCAACAGTGGGTCTGAACCATAGATTTTTCTCCCTAGGTTGATAATTCACACTCCTGGGATTGATGCTGTATGCTCCATGAAACCTCTGTGCCATAAACCCAGTGCTGTCCACTGTGTATTCACTTCTTCCTGATGTAACCTGTGTTAGAGTTGGGCTACCCAAACTGTTTTCATAAGCTGCCCACAGTCTCTATTGTAGGCTATAATGAGTACAACTGGGTTGAAAGGATATGACACTAGCTATCAGAGCAAGATTTGACCAGATGACAGCAGAGAGGAAGCTGTGGTGTTGTGGGATTCCACACTGGGCCATCAGAAAGGAGGCGTGAATGGTCTATAGGACATAGATGCACATCAAAGGGATCTATGGGACATAGATGCTGGGAGAAGGTGCACCTCAAAAGAAAAGAGTTGGCAAATTCAGAAATTGTCATGTGTATTGAAAGATTTGTGCAGCATCACCAGGGCTCTGCTGCTGATGAAACCTTCCTTCCCACAGCCTCCCCCTTCATATCCCTTTTCATTCACATAATTACTTTAAGCAAATCTTAATGTTCTTTTCACTTGCTGCTCTTTAGCTCAGTTCCCACACCCTGAAAAGCCCCATCTGGAGATGAAAGGGAAACAAGCCATTGTTCTCCTAAGTTATTATCCTAGGTCATTTGTATACAACACAGGGGTTTAATTCTCCCTAAATTGAAGTGGTGTTTTTTTAAAAACATTGCTTCAATTTAGGGTGAAGTAAACCCCCATGTCATGTACACCCATGTCAGAGCCTGATCCTTACCTGCCTCTCCAGCAGCAGGGAGGGGAGAGCAAGCTGCTGGCAAGCAGAGTGGTCCCTGAGCTGTGGGGGAGGGGCTGGTGCTTCCCTCCACAGCAGTGCCACTTCCCCCCATCTCCCCCCCCCAGGTGGTACCCGTCTGCAGGCACCAGGCTCGGGCAGTCCCAGGGGGCACCGCAGCCGTGGAGGGAAGCATCGGGCCCCTGCACAGCTCAGGCAGGTAGACAGACTCCGGGAGGAGGAGATCAGGCTTGCCACTTTTTTTTTTCCTCTTCTGTAACGTCTGCCTTCCCTGCCTGCTGCCAGGCTGCCTGCATGGTCTGCCTGCACAGCCCCTGAGCTGCAAGGAACCCAATTCTTCCCTCCGTGGCTGTAGGGTAGGAAACTAAAACTCTCTGGAGGTGTTTTGCTTTGCAGTGCCCCAAAGTCATTTGCTGAGTCCCAAAGTCATTTAAGGCACATTATGCCGCTGAATGTGCTACAGCGGCTGGAATTAACGCGCAATACGCCACCAAATGTGCAAACAGCAGTGCCATTAAAGCGATACAAAAAGCATTTAACCTGCTTTAAACCCACTTTAAAGTATGCTACAAATGCCCTGAGGCCTCTTGTTGTTGCCGAGATCAGTCACCTGGTATTGTATTGTGAGAGTGCTTGCCACCAGTCAGAGACTCTTCAAAAGCAGATGGGTCTGTATTAGAGAGGAGGAAAGACAAGGTCATCATTGCTGATACTAAAATGGCAGAATCAGGGAATTAGAAATGAGAGAAGGACATTTCCAGTGCCTACCGCAGCCTACTAAGGTGTCACACACAGAAAGCTCTGGAAGAAGGGAGCATCAGGTACACTGGATAGCCCTACAGTTTGGTAATGTGTTACAGAGCTTTTGTCCGCTAATACAAGAGCAGTTTAAGTGTGGGCCATACCAGCAACTATGGAAAGCCATGGCTGCCTGAAAAGGGTGTGGGATCTAGAAGTTCTTCAGGTGGCCATGCAGGTAAAATTAAAGAAAAAGGAAGACCAAGGGAATTAGGATCCCAGCTTTTGAGGCCTTTGAATGGTGTTTATGTGCCAAAATCTCTTTAGGCTACCTTGAATATCTCAGCCTCCAACTTCAGAGTAATTTCAGCGAAGTGAATCCAAACATGGAAGCAAAAAGGAAGCAATCATCATGCAATTTCCTGCCCATAAAGACTGTTCTGTGCTCCTGCTGGATAGGCAAGAGAACACAGTGAGGTGTCCTAACTGGAGTCATCTTAGTTCTCTCCTGTCTGTCCCTCTTCGTGGGTGCATCTGCACAAGATGCTTTACTGTACTGCACATTAGACCAGTGTTTCCCAACCAGTGTGCCGCGGCACACTGGTGTGCTTTCAGACATTACCAGGTGTGCCGCAGAGCCTTGGGGGGGGTGGGGGGGCACTGCGCCCCAGCCAGCCCCATGCCACCACCCACCCTCCTCCGCTCTGCATCTGGCCACATGCCACATTGCCCCCAACTCCACATCTGGCTGGTGTGCCACGGGATGGAAAAGGCTGTGTAAGTGTGCTGTGGGATGAAAAAGGTTGGGAAATATTGCATTAGACTAATCTAATGCACAGTCAAGCATCACTGTCTACATGTGTGCAGCAATTACTGTGCAGTAGGGCTGTGCAAAGCTTTGGTCGCTGATTCGATTCGGTGGAGATTCTGCTCGATTTGGTGGCCGAATCTCTAAATCTGAATCAAATCGGGAGACCCTTTAATCTCTCCAAATTGAATCAGAACCCTCTTAATCGATTCCGAGAGATTTGGAAAGATTCAATGATTCAGACATAGATACGGCTTTAAATGTTTTTTCTACATACTTCAAGGTAGCAGGCAGCTCATGAATGCTGAGATGGTGGGGTGGATGGAGCATCCCACAGGAGTGTGGAGGGGTCCCCAGTGCACTCGGCAGCAGACCTGGAAGTGAACCAGAAGCACTTCCGGTCCAATTCCAGGTCCACCAGGGAGTATATGGGGAGCTCCCCCGTGCCTCCCTGGCTTGGCGACTGGTGCCTTCTGGGTCTTGGGGGGCACCTGGGGTCCCCCCATGGCTGATCTCTGAGCCAGGAGAGTGCGGGGGGGCCCCCAGCATGCTCAGTGGTGGATCTGGAAGTGGACCCAGAAAGGGCCCCCCACGCTCCTGTGGGACGCTCCATCAGCCCCAGCATCGCAGCATTCATGAGCCGCGCCTGGTACCTCAAGGTATGTAGAAGCTGTGGTATTTAGAGCTGTGTTTATGGCCAAATCACTGATTCTCTGAATCAGCATCAAATCTTCAGATTCAGATTCGGCTGAATCAAATCAGGACAGTGATCTAAATCAACAAATTGAATCACTGTCCCTGATTCGGGCTGAATCCAAATCCAAATCATATACGGCCCATTTCGCACGCCCCTCCTGTGCAATAGATTAATCTAATATGCCATTTTCTAGTACCTGTTGTTAAATCCAGTAACATCAAACCAGGCCTCGTACCAGGTATTAATTCCAAAACTAAAACACAGTTCCTCTAACCAATAACACATCTATTAAGCCTCTAACATATTGGTCTCCAACCTTTCTAAGTAGGAGATCACCTTTGACATTTAAAAGCAACCCAAGATCTACCATGCGCCACTGCTACCCACCACCCCCACCCTGCCCCCAGCCACCAGGTAAGTCTGTGGGGAGAGAAGGGAAGAGGGCGGATCAAGGCAGAGGGATAAAAAATTATTTAGGGGCACACCTCACCAGCAGGTAAGTCCCACCTGGCCAGGGCCTCACTCAATTTAGCCCTGCTCCTGCCTCTGCAGCACTGTCCCTCACCATGGGGGCCTCAATCTAGCCTCCACCCTTTCCCTCCCCCACAGACTGACCTGCTGGGCTAGGTCACATGCATGCATGCACACAGGCACTCAATCCTCCACCCCAGCCTCAGATCAACTCCAAGAAGCTCCAAGATCTACCGGTGGATTGAGATCCACTGGTTGGTGACCACTGCTCTAGCAGTTACAGTTTTTAGTGCTATGGTTAGTTAAAAGCAATACATGTTCACCACCCCGAAGTGCAACAACCTTGACAACACCAGGCCATGAAGTCTCATTTGGGAGCTCCCAGCTTCTATGTTTGGTCTCTGTGTAAGATCAAATTTTCTTCAGATCACTGTCAGGATCTCTTCAGGAACCTTTGTCTCTAACTTGTATACCACATTTCTTATATAATTAGCTTAAGCCATTCTCTACAATGCATACTTATAAACCTATTTCTGCTTCTCATATACAATTAATCCTAACTAGAATTTCCCAATTTTCAATATTTATTTTGTTCTTCGATGGGGTCAGATTTGCTGCTGCTTGTTCCTCTTTTCCCAAGCTAAATTTTCTTATTTTGGTTGACTCATTTCTTGTTTTGACTTTGGCCATACAGACAAGATATCCCTAGACTTCTTTTTCTTCTCCAAGAATGGAAAACGGATGGGCCCTGATCTCCACATGGCTGGCAGGCAGCATCCCCCTGAGCTGGGACAACTCTCCCTGCCCACTGTGGTCCCCTGCTGCCTAGGCTGACTGGGAACAATTTGCTCCCAGTCAGCATCTACACGTGTGCTTCAGCACATTAGTTTAATGCACTGATTTCTACTATCTGTAGCTACAGTGGGGTTTTTTCCTTGCAAGAAAGAAAAAGGTGAACACAAAAAGATGCTTAAAAGGAACAGAGCAACTTCTAGAGGGAAAAGGGGAAAAGGAAGGACATGAAGACAGAGGAGGATAAAAGAGAGAGATGGACAGAGAAAAAGAGCTAAGAACAAGGGAAACAAAAAAACAAAACAAAACAAAACCATGATGCTGTAATGGGGAGCTAATGCCAAGCACTGGAACTTCATCAGCTTTGCTGGCACTCTGCAGAGGGAATGTGTCACCCCAAGGGAACAAGCTTCTTTTTCTCCCTTTCCCTGTACTTCATTGGCATTTCCTTGGCAGGCAACCCACTGCTTTGTTGTTGCAGAAAAATGTGGCTTGGGGGATGGGAGTTTTATTACATGGTAGCGATTAGTGGAGAGCAGGCATTTATTTATTATTTTTAATTACAGTGTTGGGTGATAGATTTCCTCTGATCTTAGAGTCCCCAGTTTAGGACAGAAAGAAGTTTTCTGAAATAATTAAG